AGAGGCGAGAGGAGGGGGAGAGTGGTTTCCAGTTGGTGCTACGGCTAAGCTAACAAAATCGCTTACTGCACCTTTAAGTAGGAGATTTTATACTTGCTTCTTTATTATGCTAAAGTTCTAACTAGCTTTCTTTTTAGTATAGAGTTACAGTTCACTTGTCTTGTGCTCCTCATTCCTTCTGTGACTGGTGATGCAGCACTGAAATGTCCCCACTGTGGGACAAATAATGGATCTCTTAATAAAGCCTGGCTCATATTTTCTTTCATATACAACTGTTTATCGTGCATTGTCCCTGATCAAATAAATGAAATAAAAAATAAAATCAGCTTCTTCTGCATTCGACAAACTCTATGGGTGACCTCTAGACCTCCTGCCACATGTCAAAACAAACCATACAGAGGCTAAATGAAATGTTTCTTTGATATTATCGTCCCAGCAGCGATACACAAAATCACTCTTGGATATTTCCCGCCAACATCGCCTCGCTGTGGTCTGAACTGGCGTTACAAAACAGTTTTCCTTTCAGTGTAAGTTGCAGGTCTTGGACTGAGGCAAAATCCAGGTGTGTGTAAATGCCACGTCTCTTATGTGTCGGCATGGCTCAATCCATTACTCACCTCGCTCTGCAGTGGTTGTAGATGGAAATAGCGGTGTGCCACAGTTCCCGGGAAAGGTCAAAGCTTCTGCGAGAATTTTTAACCGAGAAAGAAGCTTGGTGGCTGTGTCCCATGGAGGCGTGGGCTTCTGACAAACTTCTACCGACATGGTTTTAGAGTGGGACTTGTGTATGATTTTCAATTGACAAAACTCAATTCATAATACGTCCAATATTCAATGCGATCGCTATAACATACTCTTGGTGGGGGTAAAATGGATTCTGTTCGGTATTGCGATATTTTCCAGACTCAATTCAACCGATACAGTAGAGAAAAGTATTGCAATATTTTATTTGATAGTTTTCTGAGTTTTCACTGGTAATTTACATCTGAGGTTTATGTTCCTCTGTCTGCTTTGTGTTACTTTAGTCTATTTTATTTTAATAATAATAATAATAATGCATCCGTTTTATATAGCGCTTTTTTGGACACTCAAAGACTCTTTACATGTCATTATTCTAATCATTTAAGACCCAAGTGGACAGGGCCTTCTCTGTGGTCTTAAACCCAGAGGCACAGGGCCTTCACTGTGGTCTTGATCCCAGTGGGACAGGGCCTTCTCTGTGGTCTTGACCCCGGCAGGACAGGGCCTTCTCTGTGGTCTTGACCCCGGCAGGACAGGGCCTTCTCTGTGGTCTTGACCCCGGCAGGACAGGGCCTTCTCTGTGGTCTTGACCCCGGCAGGACAGGGCCTTCTCTGTGGTCTTGACCCCGGCAGGACAGGGCCTTCTCTGTGGTCTTGACCCCGGCAGGACAGGGCCTTCTTTGTGGTCTTGACCCCGGCGGGACGGGGCCTTCACTGTGGTCTTGATCCCGGCGGGACAGGGCCTTCTCTGTAGTCCTGATCCCGGCGGGACAGGGCCTTCTCTGGGGTCTTGATCCCGGCGGGACAGGGCCTTCTCTGTGGTCTTGAACCCAGATGGACAAGGCCTTCTCTGTGGTCTTGAACCCAGATGGACAGGACCTTCTCTGTGGTCTTGAACCCAGATGGACAGGACCTTCTCTTTGGTCTTGAACCTAGAAGGACAGGGCCTTCTCTGTGGTCTTAAACCGGGGGGGACAGGGAATTCTCTGTGGCCTTAAAGCCAGAGGGACAGGGCCTTCTCTGTGGTCTTGATCCCGGCGGGACAGGGCCTTCTCTGTGGTCTTTAACCCAGAGGGACAGGGCCTTCTCTGTGGTCAAAAGCTGTCCGCAGACGTAGAAAATCTTCAGTTACTGTCCTGAGAAAACATTACATAATGAATTGTAGTGAAACATGAAACTCTAATGATCTTTTTAAGGAGAACCCGCCTCTCTGTCCTCTTTCAGTGGAAATAGCAGCTGTCCTGTTTCTGAAGGTGGGTCTGAGAAGTGGGCCAGCTCCTGAGTGAGACCACCAAACTCGCATCACCGCCGGCAAACTACCACATCCAGCTCAATGCTAATGCTGGAAAAAGAAGGGAAAAAAATCATTATTAGTCGGGTTGTGGGCCTTTTGTCCATGGTGTTTTAGTAAATGGGATGTTTAGATGAGAGGATTTTAATATAGGAATAATTTACGTGACCGTCAGTGAGTTACTAAAAATGTAAACTGTTTTATAGGGTTTTTTTTAAGGTGTTTTGTGTCTTGTTTTATGTTTTGTGTCCTGCCTCACAATAAGCACCAGCCACACTCTCAATTCTCAGCAGATTCCAACCCGAACCGATGTATTTTTTCCTGTTGATAGCTGTGAATTACATTTGTGAACTTCGGCTGATGTGAACTGTCAAAGTTTGACCTTGTTGAACCTTTTTTAATTTGCACCGTCTAATATTAGTTTAATCACACTTCATAAGGAGCTGTACAAGGTCGGATCTTTCTCCCCTGCTCCTTTCGTAACTTCCCAAAGGACAAAACTCTGGTGCAATTTTATAAAAGGGAAAGGTGCTAGATTGAAGTTGAGTCTATAAGTTGTTGAGGCCGATGGCTGTTTGGCATAAAGCTGTCTCCTGTACTTTTAATCATAGTAATGCGGCTGCCGGAGCGGAGGTTCTTGATCTGAGACAATGTGGTAAAGCACAACAACAACAACAAATCTGTTCAGCCACAACAAACATCAGACAATGCATTATGTCATAGAGCTAATTGTAATCGTTAGTAAAAGCGGTGTGGTGGTGCAGCGGTTAGCTCTGGTTCACAGCAAGGAGGTCCAGTGCCATATACATAAACAGTTGAGTAGTTTTTAGTTACTCACTGTAGGCATATAGTCGCTTCTATTATTGTTATATTAAAATCCTCTCATCTAAACATCCTATTTACGAAGACACCAGGGTTAGGGTTAGATTCATCTACTGACAATAGGCCCACATTCTAATGATTGTGTTCACTTCATACATACAAGATTCAGGATTCAAGAATTTATTTGCCTTTTGCAGTAAAACCAGTGTGCACTGGACAGAGAACATGGTACTCACCAGAGCTCTTGCCACCAACAACAATTAAACAAAACAACGTATTCTGCCTTTCTCTATCTTGTTTCTCTACGTTGAGGTTCATGTTGTTTTGTTTTGTGATTTACAATTTCTACCTGAGTTGTTGCTGCAGGACAGTGGTCAGGGTTTTGCACTGGTCCAGACTGGAGCAGAGAGGATTCATGGTCTGAGCCAGGCGGATTGGCCGAAAACTCACTGGAGGAATGCTAACTTTTTGAAAAATGCTAACTTAGCATTTTACTTTGGGCCACAGCAGAGAAAATGGTCCAAACCAAGCGGCTCATCCAGTATCTATCTACGTGTGTGTGTGTGTGTGTGTGTGTGTGTGTGTGTGTGTGTGTGTGTGTCTGTGCTGTTGCAGTGTGTGTGAGAGGCCCGTTGAGAGGGGGCAGAGGAGGAAGCTTTAAAATCCAGTTATGTCAGAGATTATGAGTTAGCCGTGCACACTTCTGCTGTTAAAGTGCGCCTCATTAGTCTGCTCCATGCTACACCCCTTTAAGTCCCTCTCCCATTGGAGGTCGGCTCACATCTGGGTCAGGAGCGCCTGGATTAGGGGCTGACACGGTGTCGCTGGATGCAGATTACACAGTTGGACGTCTGTTTGGACTGAGAGCCAGGGCGCTTCTGCCGTGTTGATGCGTTGATTTCCACACCAATACAATACAATTTGATGTATTCTTTTATTGGTCTAAATCACATCAAGTATCTTGAAGGACTTTACAAAAACCGTTGATTCGCCCAACACCGAACAGAGAATCAAACCGTTCAAACACAAGAGTTCCTCAGGGTTCTAGCCATGTTTTCTAGTAGAAATTATAGATTCACTGAAAAAAAAAAAAGTTAAATCTACAAAGTGTTTTTTTATTCTTTCTCACAAAATACCTATAGTCAGACCCGAGTTGTGTACATTTTGACAGTTTATGTAAATTATGAGAAAGATGAGATAAGAGGGGAAAACCATGCTTCTGCCCGACAACAAGACAAAAGACTCGACCATTTATGAACTCAAATAAAGAGGATTTTTCCCAAATTATTTTTAGCTCACTCTCTTTTGTTTTTGCTAATAACTTGAAGAATTACACTCTTTACAATTTCCTAATTAAGATAAGATAGAGCTTTATTTTTCCTACAGTGGAGAAATTTGAATGAATTGAAACCACAAACATTTCGGTTTGATTGCGATTAGTTTTGCAGCCCGGGGTTCATCATTTACAATAAAGCGTGCAAAATGATAAGAATCGCAAAGATATTATTTTGTGGCCCAAATATCCTATCCAATAAAAATAATCAATAATAACAATACTATTGAATTGTCACCTTTTCGGCCCTTCCCACCCCTACTTCTACGCCATTTTTCTAATCTCACCTCCGTGACGTACAGAGAGTTTTACAATAGTGTTGATTAAAAAACGATCCTCTGCATTAATCCAACCACTCGCAGGCCGTACATTTGAAAGGCAAATGATCTGAAGAGCAGGCTGTCACTCTTCTACACCTCATTTGACTGAACGGCCACAGTCAGAACTATTGAACCACCGCATGGATTTGCAGTTTTCATTCATAACCACCTCAACATTTTCCCAACAGCACAGAGAACACAAACCACTCAAACTGGATTCACTCGTCTTTGCAATAGTAATTTAAATGATGTCAGAATACTTGTACAGCTGTATATATATACTTCTTTAAAGCAGTTCCTGAAGAGGCCTGTATCTGTGCGGTATGTGACCTGGGGGTGGTAGAGGAGGAGCCTCATTTTGTTTTGTATGTGTCCACTTTATTTTGAGTATCAAAGTTTCATTTGAAAGAGTAAATGCTTCTAAAGCATTTGCGACAAATAAACAATCTCTTAATCTTGAACAACAATTTCTCACACTTTTTTATCTCCACAGATCACCAGAAACTTGAGAGAGAGGCTCGGATCTGTCGTCTGCTCAAACATCACAATATTGGTGAGTGAGAATGCGGTTAACTTGAGTGCATGCTGCTGACCTGACCGCTCATCTGTGCAATCTTGTGCAATAATGTCTGAATGTGTAATACAGGACCACATGGGGTCACTTTAGTTACTGTATCTATAAATGCATACTTTGCTCATAAACCAATGTTCAGACAACACAACTATCACATATACTTAAATGTTGTGGCCATCCCCTCATGTGAAAGCCAGATCCTGTCAGACCTCTGAAGCTAAGCAGGACAGGGCCTGGTTAGTACTGTGATGGGAGACACCAGGTGGCACAATGGGGCAGCTGTGGCTGTATAGTGCCAAACTGTTGTTGTGTCTTTAGGCAACACACTTCCCCCACGTTAGCTAGAATGAGTCTGATGTGTGTGTGGATGGTTGGTGGTTGGAGGAGCCAATGACATACACTGGTTGCCTCGCAAATGTCAGTGTCCCCCACCACTAGTAGTTTATGTATTGGGGTAAATGAATAATGACATGTGAAGCATCTTTTGAGAGTCAAAAAAAAACCCACCATTACCGATGCATTATTATTTATTTGTGTGTTCCTCATTCCTACTATTCTGTAACCTGTAAGAGGAGTAAAGAATCTCTTAACCTGAATCCAAATGTCTGGGGAAAGTCCAGGGTGACTTTTAGGAGCAGGCTGACATGGTTTCACACTGACCTGCTTACACATACAGTTGAGTTGGTAATAACTAGAGCATACATGATTTCTAGTCTCAGTTGGCCCCAATGATGCATACAAAAGCTGAATATATTTAGAACTTGGAGCTAGATCTGATAAAGCAAACATCCACTTGACTCAATATTTTGAAAAATATTTCACTTTTTACACATTTTCAGGATACATTTTTACAATCAAGCATCACTCACCGACCTGTTCTGTTTCTAGTCTAGTTCAAAGCCACTATTTGCATTTAGACATAGACAATGAGCTGTGAATATCCTGCAAACGAAACTGTTTTGAGTCATTCATATTTATTCATTATTGATTATTATTAGGAATATTGCAAACAAATATTTTGGGGCTTAGTATCTTAAAAGATTGAAGATTTGTGCCAACATATATGTGGGGCTCTCATGCACGTGCACAGAGGGGCACGGCCACGTTCTAACCAATCAGAGCTGCTGATCAGAGCGGAGCAAACGAGCAGAGTTTGTGGCACTAAAGTGTGGATTTAAAGAAAAGCAAAGGTTTTAAGAAGAAAAAAAGTTCAGGATGACAAGGAACACTAAAATCCCCACAAAATCTGACCTTTATGAAAATTGTAGGTTCTCTGTCAGCTGAGGTTGAGCTATTTTAGTTTACATTGAGTTCTATGGGGAAAATGTCTGGGTCGCTCACTTGAATTTAGTCTTGTTTAGTCTGCAGTACCGCGAAAGCCCTCGAGCCCATGGGTGTTTCGGCTCTAAGCTAGTAACACTCTATCCACTTATTAATATAGATCCAAGATTATCCATCTGAGTGAATGGAGACATGCTCATAAAAATATATAGTGAAAAAGGGAACTTACTTTCTATTAATATGTTTGCATTGCTTCCGTGCTTCTGCATGAGCGACACCCGATTTTCAGTTATAAAATAGTCAGACCCTCAGCAGTTACTTGAAGCTCCCCTCCCTGGCCTCGCGCCTTATTGAACCAGTCGGCACTAACGGCACCGGTCGCTGCTCTGTCACTCTCTATCGGCTGCAAGTGGATTTCTCATCTCCGCCGTTTCCTTGTTAAGGCTTTAGATGTGATCACTTCATATCCGCACGCTGTCCTTCTGAGGCCCATCCGTCTGCTTCCCCTCGGATCCATCTTTCCGGCACAATCATTAGCTTTCTGTTCAGGCACAAGAACCCCTGGGAAAACCGGGAATCTCCGAGTCTGCTGCACTGATGGATGTAAAGTGTCAATCAAGATGCAAGCCCTACCTGCACCACAGAAGTCCACCAGGAGATATTCAAGTCCGACCAATTTATCTGGCATATTATAGGATTGGAATGGAGTGGGCCTGTATCAAGGATGGAAATCAGAAAATTTGCGTTCATATGTGGATATTGGGGTTTTATGTAGAGCTGTAACAACAAGCTATGGCAAGTTTATTTGTATAGCACGTGCCATACAGAAGGCAACTCAAAGTGTACAGAAAAAATAATCAAGACAAAATCCCTCAGCTAAACAGAATTGTAGTAGTAGTAGTAGTAGTAGTAGTCAATTTGTTTTTGTTTTAAAATTGACAACAATTTTATTCTTTGCTACATCCAAACTGCTCTATTTACAGACACAATAAATGTAATCGCTGTAATGTGTGATTTCAAGACTAAAAGAGCAGTGATAACAAAAAAACCTCTTTATTGTATCTGCATTGGTGCAATGAAGCTAAAGCAGAGGTTCAGAGTGTGCACAGGCTCACTCCTGTTACTGCCCTGCGTCAACCTTTCATATCGTGCAGAAAGCTGGTTTTCATGCAGCAACCCTCCTCCTCCCCATCCCCACCCAGGTCAGATCTTCAACCCTTCTCTTAGCTCCCATCAGAGTTTAGGCCCCAGGGGACTTCATCTCACAATCTGTTAGATTCCCCTCTTTTTAATGTATTTATTAATTTAATATGGACATAGTTTAGTTTTCAGCACTAGTCCACAAAGTGCTTTTCCGTATGAATATCACCACATAAGAGTCGGCCATCTTTGGTATATGCTGTCTTCTCTGTCTGGTGCACACTGGGGAAGTCTTGCACAGTTTTTCCAATGTGGTTTTACTGCAAATGGCAAATACATTCTTGAATCTTGTTTGTTTGGACACAATGTTATGTCCAGGTATTGCCAGCTTTTAATATAAGCCCAAAGAGTATTACTTTTCTCTCGATCATTGAATGAATCTGTTTGAATCCACCTTCTCCTCACTAGCAGCTCTCCCCACACCGTATCCATCACTCCACACGCCGCCGTAACGCTGGAGTTACTGAGGCTAACGAGCGCAGAAGTGAAGGTTAGCCGGTCGCAGGGAAACCAGCAGACAGTCATGTTATTTTAGAGGAGAGCCGTGGCTAAAAATAGCACCGAGCGTATTGGCCATCAGAGAGAAAAGGAGACGCAAGAAATATGGAGATCACAGACTATTTCATGGCTTGACCTGCCTTGAAATGTCTTTGTAAGTCCATAGTCATGTCAAAATCCACTGTTTTAATAAATATATCAAATAGAAATGATTACTTTTATTAGTTTAGTGAAATAGGGAACATTGCAGTACAGCATGTTCCTGTTTCTAGAAGGATACTTTTCACCTGAAAACACCTTTCATTTTATTTCTGAGCCATTCGTTCTTCTGGGCTGCTCCTAAATATTTATTTGAGAGTTGGAGAGAGAGCCAAACACGACTGAGCTCCCGTCACCACACAAACAGACAAAAGACAGTTCATTTGTACATAAGATATCTTTATAAGTGACCCCTGTAGCTCAGGACCAACTAATAGCTCGCCAACCCCTTCCAGGTAGCTCGCCAAAGTATTTAAAAAATGAACAAATCAAAAAATATACTTAATATTTCAGATAGTATTATCATTATTTATTAAAGTAAATGCACTGACTTTTCTCACTAGTAACATGCAATAATAAATAATGAAATGTACCCAATATCAGGCTTGTTCACACCAAGATATCCCCAAAGTTTTCCCAGTGCTGCTTAAACCAGTATCTCTAGAATCAGAGCTGTAAAGTTGACCTATGTGTGAGTGAATTAATCAGAAAATAATATTTAATGATAAAAAGCATGTCAACACAGGCCTTAGCTCATGACGGCCCTCATTCTTGTTCATTTGTGCTAACGTATTCTAATATGTACTAACATTTGCTAATGTGCGCTAACGTGTGCTAGCATTTGCTAACGTGCGCTAACATATGCTAATGTGTGCTAACGTAAGCTAATGTGTGCTAAAATTTTCTGACGTGCGCTAATGCGTGCTAACCTTTGCTAACGTGTGCTGTTGTGTCACCAGTGCGGCTCCATGACAGTATATCAGAGGAGGGCTTCCACTACCTGGTATTTGACCTGTAAGTGCACACACACACACACAGAAACACACACGCAGACACACACACAAACACATATGCACACACAAATGTTCAAAAGAGGGACTGCCGTCACACCAGCGTATGTTGCGTATGTTGGCTCCTTCACATGGTTCTCTCACATGGTTCTCACACATGGTTCTCACAAATGGTTCTCACACATCAGAGAGAAAACAGGGGTTTTGGTGTATTTTACATGAGTGGTTTGCGGTTAATAAGAAGACGATCCACATTAAAGCCGCAAGCAGCAATGACAGCCCTTGCCACTCTTTGTGTCTGCCTCCCAAGCACCAGAATCGGACTCCAGACCTCCAGTGTTATTTACTTTATCCATCAGCGTGATCTACATTCACTCTCATTTGTTTTTGTCAACATTTTCAACAATTAGTTCTCAATACACACAGAAAATGGAATTACAAACGTATGGGATGTGATTGCCCGGTATCTCGATTCAGGGGACGTTAAATTAAATTTATTTTAAACGGGGCGACAGTAGCTCAGTTGGTAGAGGACTGGTCTTTGGACCTAATAGTTGTGGGTTCAATCCCACCATGACCCATGTCACCTGCTCCCACTGATGTCTGCTGTCGTTGTGTCCCTGGGCAAAACACTTATTTATTTATTCATTTATTCAGACGTCGATAGAACAATTAAAGTAGAAGCTACTTAATAAAAGAAAAATGAAATTAAGTACATAAAACAACCAACATTTACTGTATGATCTCGTCTGCCTTAACCCCACATTGCCTGAAGCCCCCCCAACCCAGAAATGGATTAATAAAGCTGAAGACAATGACATGACACTTTTCTAAAGTTATTGTTATAAATAATTGTTTTTCAAGTCAAAATGTATTTACAGTATTTTTTCAACTCAGGCATAAGGACTCTAAAACACATGACTTACAAAGTTGTATAAAACTTTTTTTCTATGGATAGGCTTTTTGACTCCATATTTGAATAATTTGAAAAGTTTAGATTTGACTAAAAGGGCTCATGTCATGGTTTTATGAAGTAAAATTCATGTCTTTATTTAAATGTTTTTTTATTCCTCGTATTTGAACGTCTTTGACTTGAGTCTCAGAGTCTTGGGTTAGACAGAATGTTGGGAAGAGGAACACCGTGTACCATCCTCCTCTGAATGCAGCTCCATAGAAACGTTTTTCATTTATACCTTCTTTTCAACTAAACATTTTATAACTGGGAGAAAAAAGTTGAGTTCGCCCAATTTGAGAGAAATGACGTCTCTGTGAAAAGCGTTGCAATCTGCAAACGAATTTCATGTTCCAAGTTTGAACAAAGGACCTCAATTTTTATGATAATGACTCAAATCTACCCGAATAATCAGCGGCTCTGAATTGTATGATAATTTATCCTTTTGTCTGGGTTTTAATGTGGGCATATCTGAGCGCTACAGTCTTCAAATGCCACAATTCCATCTGCACTTTGAATAACTTTTTCTCTGTAGACCCGGAGGTTTGAATGTCATTGATTTTACTGACTCGCCTTTATCTCTGTCTCGGAGCTAAAGACAATTTATTATAATTTTATTTATGTTCTTATCTATGTTCAATTTCGCATTATTATTTATTTATTTTGATGCTTTTGTTATGTGGCTTAGAAGGTTATTTAATAAGAAAGAAAGCTAGTTCTGCTTGATTACCTCATGTTTTTGCGGTAGACTTCCACCTTCGTCAGAGGAGACATGTGATGGTGTGTAGTAGCAAGTAATGTTTATTTATATAGCGCGTTTATCCGCCCCATGTCCCCCAAAGCCCATTACAATGTTCAGAGTTCAGATATTTTTCCAACCTCTCCACACACGGTGATGACAGAAGCAAGTCGCCAAACACACTGGTCCATCAAAGCCTCCGACCAAACACCATCCATTCACTCACTCACTACATTCATATCTATTGCACATGTTTTTAGTGGTAAGGGAAACCGGAGCACCTGGAGGAAACCTATGCAGACACGGGGAGAACATGCAAACTCCGCTCAGAAAAGCCCTGTTCCGACCGGGATTCAAACCCAGGACCTTGTTTCTGAGAAGGGCTTTTGTTATGCATTTATATTCAGGGGTGCACATAAGTGGTACGCAGGTACGCATGCGCGACAATTTTCAGAAATGTGTACTAACACTTGAGTTAGGAGCTAAAGTGATCACCGGCTTTGTGTGTCTGTTTGTGTGTCGCTAACTTTCCCAAACTTCTGCTGTGATGTTGCGGACACGGCACACGCATGGATCTATTTTGGCTCACACTGGCGCTTCGAGCCTACGCCCCTTTGACACTGATTGGCCAAAAGGTAGACGCTTAAACTGTGATTACTGTGTGTGTATTTACCTCTGCTGGGGCCGCTGTGACAACAATACAGAGACAGAAACACGGTGTTAATGCCGTGCTGTTGTTTGTTGTTTCCAGTGGTGTCTGCTAGGCTAATGCTGCTGAATGCCGGTTTGTTTTGGTCCTTTCTGCTGGCGTCAGAGCCTGCGCAATTTGATGACATAATGACCTATTGCAATATGCCGGTATAACAAAAATCTCTACCGTGGGCCAAATTTATATCACATACCGCTTATACCGTTTATATCGCCCAGCCCTAACCAGAGGCCACATGTACCACTGGTGACAGAACCAAACCGTTTTGAGAGATAGCTCGAAAATGTTTCACCTCACACTTCCCATCCCATAACATCCTCATTATACAGATACAGTGCCTTGCAAAAGTATTCGGCCCCCTTGAACCTTTCAACATTTCGCCATATTTCAGTCTTCAAACATAAAGATATAAAATTTAAATTTTTTGTCATGAATCAACAACAAGTGGGACACAATCGTGAAGTGGAACGAAATGTATTGGATAATTTAAACTTTTTTAACAAATAAAAAACTGAAAAGTGGGGCGTGCAATATTATTCGGCCCCTTTACTTTCAGTGCAGCAAACTCAGTCCAGAAGTTCAGTGAGGATCTTTGAATGATCCAATGTTGTCCTAAATGACTGATGATGATAAATAGAATGCACCTGTGTGTAATCAAGTCTCCGTATAAATGCACCTGCTCTTTGATAGTCTCAGGATTCTGTTTAAAGCGCAGAGAGAACCATGAAGACAAAGGAACACACCAGGCAGGTCCGAGATACTGTTGTGGAGAAGTTTAAAGCCGGATTTGGATACAAAAAGATTTCCCAAGCTTTAAACATCTCAAGGAGCACAGTGCAAGCAATTATATTGAAATGGAAGGAGTATCAGACCTGCAAATCTACCAAGACCCGGCCGTCCCTCCAAACTTTCATCTCAAACAAGGAGAAGACTGATCAGAGATGCAGACAAGAGGCCCATAATCGCTCTGGATGAACTGCAGATAACTACAGCTGAGGTGGGAGAGTCTGTCCATAGGACAACAATCAGTCGTGCACTGCACAAATCTGGCCTTTATGGAAGAGTGGCCATTTCTCAAAGATATCCATAAAAAGTCTCTTACGAGGACATTACATTTTTGCCTCTTGGCACAATGATACTCAATTTTTTACATCCTTGACCTGATGGCCACATTTAGGGACACTGCCCGCGCCATCTTGTGGTGATATGATAGAATTACACTTAAGGCAGTAGGAAAAAATGGTGGGAATATCAGCAAAAGACTTCTACAAGAGTTCACAGAAGAAAAATGCCCCAGGTAAAAATTCTATCAACATTTTATGAAAGTTTGAAATTTTACAAATTTTGATTGTAGTAGCAGGCTAGGATGTCAGTAAAAGTGAAGCACTCGTTTGAGGACGGTAGGACTATGTACCGCTATCTGTTTAGCTAACCGTGTGGAAGATTTAGATGAAGTTACAGTTGTAAATAGTTATTTTGAATCACACATTTGCTTAGTTATGTGGTTTACAGTTGTAAATAGTATATTTAAGTACTAAGTGGTATATGCTAATTATTGTTTAGTGTTGCTAAATGCTTAATCATAAACAATATAGCTAGGCTATAGCTAGCACATGATAGCCAAGCTATGATGTGTCACTGATATACTGTAGATTTTCATGTTGGTTTTTAACATTATCATTACAGGCACACTTTCATTATCAAGAGCAGAACAATTGCTGTTGGAAATTGCAGACAACTCTGAGATAGAGGACTTCTCAGATGGGGATGATTGTATCATCATCTCATACCTGTCAGTCAGCTTCTGGTGTTTCCCACGGGGAGAGGCGGCGAGCTGAGGTGGCCATACTCATTGCCCCCCATCTCAGCCGCCACGTGTTGGAGTTCTCCCCGGTGAATGAGAGGGTCGCGTCCCTCCGCCTCCGGGTGGGGGACAAGTCTCTCATTGTTGTGACGGCCTACGGGCCTAACGGCAGTGCCAAGTACCTGCCTTCTTGGAGTCCGTGGGAGGGGTACTGGACAGTGCACCGCCCGGGGACTCCGTTATTCTCCTGGGGGACTTCAACGCCCATGTGGGAAATGCCAGTGACACTTGGAGAGGGGTGATCGGGAAGAACGGCCCCCCTGATCTGAACCCAAGCGGAGTTCAGTTGTTGGACTTCTGTGCCCGTCACGGTTTGTCCATCACAAACACCATGTTCGAGCACAAGGGTGTGCACCAGGATACCCTAGGCCGGAGGTTGATGATCGACTTTGTTGTCGTATCATCTGACCTTCGACCGCGTGTCTCGGACACTCGGGGAAAGAGAGGGGAGGAGCTGTCAACCGATCATCACCTGGTCGTGAGTTGGATCCGCTGGCAGGGGAAGAAGCCGGCAGGCCCAAGCGTGTAGTGAGGGTCTGCTGGGAACGTCTCGCTGAGACCCCTGTCAGACGGACTTTCAACTCACACCTCCGGGAGAGCTTCTCCCAGGACCCAGAGGAGGGGGACATTGAGTCCGAGTGGACCATGTTCTCTTCCTCTATCGCCAATAAAGCGGCTCGTAGCTGTGGTCGCAAGGTCTCTGGTGCTGGTCCCGATGGCAATCCCCGAACCCGGTGGTGGACACCGGCAGTAAGGGATGCTGTCAGGCTGAAGGAGTCCTATCGAGCAATGATGGTTCGTGGGACTCCTGAGGCAGCTGTCCAGTACCGGCAGGGCAAGCGTGCCGCGGCCCGGGCTGTTGCAGAGGCAAAAACCCGGGACTGGGAGGAGTTCGGAGAGTCCGTGGAGCATGACTATCGGTCGGCCTCAACATTCAAAGATCCTCACTGAACTTCTGGAGTGAGTTTGCTGCACTGAAAGTAAAGGGGCCGAATAATATTGCACGCCCCACTTTTCAGTTTATTTGTTAAAAAAGTTTAAATTATCCAACAAATTTCATTCCACTTCACGATTGTGTCCCACTTGTTGTTGATTCATGACAAAAAATTAAAATGTTATATCTTTGTTTGAAGCCTGAAATATGGCGAAATGTTGAAAGGTTCAAGGGGGCCGAATACTTTCGCAAGGCACTGTATTTACTCGTGCTTACACAGCCACAGTTTGGGGATTTCTTTACCTCCTCCATCTGTTCCCTTCTCTCTTGTCTCTTTCTGATCACACATGCTTACATACTTCTTTTTTCTCCCCCAGAGTGACGGGAGGCGAGCTCTTTGAGGACATCGTGGCCAGAGAATACTACAGCGAAACAGACGCCAGGTTGGTGCATCTCCGTCTTTTTAACTCCCTCGAGACGCAGCAAAGACACACAAGCTTTAAACGCACTTTATTCTGTCGTCTTGTTTTTCCCTCTCTTGCTTGGAAAGTCTCACTAATTGCTTACGTCTATATATAGCCTGCATAAGATTACATTACCCGCACTGATGTAGCTGTACGTGTCTTCTGTGTCTGTGATGCTGTGACTGTCCATACAGCGCTCATTAAAAAACTCAATCCAAACAAAAGCGTTCGCAAAATGACGGATCGTACGCCGTCAATTTACTCGTATTCAACATAGTATTTGTACTTAATTGAATATGAGACAGTCAGCTTTGTTTTCTTGTGGATTCTCATAAATTCAAAGTTAAATGATTAGTTTTTTAACAGATATTATTGAGTATATGAAGCCATCTTGTACTGTACATTAGTCATCTCTTGTGGCCATATACAATACCTGCGTGTGAAAGCCAGATCCCATCAGGCCTCTGAAGCTAAGCAGGGCAGGGCCTGGTTTGTTCTGTGATGTGAGACCTCTGTGATTCAACACCAGGTGCCACAGCAGGGTGGCTGTAAAGGGCCAAACTGTTGTTGTGTCCTTAGGCAAGACACTTCACCCACATTAGAATGAGTCTGGTGTGCGTGTGTGAATGGCTGGTGGTGGTCGGAGGGGCTGATGGTACATACTGGTTGCCTCGTTTCTGTCAGTGTTCCCCAGGGCAGCTGTGTACGGAGTGAAAGAATAATGACATATGCAGCATCTTTTAGTGTCCAAAAAACGCTGTATAAAACCGATGCATCAGTATTTTTATTATCTCTTTTGGAGCTATTGAGTAGGACCTAACCAGTATACATCTAGTAACCATAGACAACACCAAAACTGCAAGGACTGAAAGCGTGTGTGTTTTGAACAATATTGAGGGAATTTTATTATTATTTTTGCACTAAATTATAACAAATTCTAATTGTTCTGAGTAATTAGATTGGGATCTCATAGTCCCTCATCCACGTCTCTTTCTGTATGTCTTACAACTGCTGATTCTCTCCTCATTATCATTCATCTCCATTCGTTATAGGGATTCTTTTGTTGTGTCCATTTGGCATTTTTTTGTTCCTTTCCTCTGCCGTCTGTGTGTTCAATTGATTTATAGAAATATTCACTGCTATTTCAGTGAGTTTCTTTTTAACCAGTTTAAAACCTATTGTATTAAACTCAACAATAAACATATCTTTGATTCATAAAAGTTACATAGTAAAAGTAAGTTATAAGTCCACAAACTTGCTCTCTTCTAACTTTATTGGCCAGGTCACGTTAAACCTCTCTGAAAGCTCCAGTATACTGTGAGATTTCATAACACTTTTAAGCAAATTTCTTTGCGCTGTTTGCTCACCACATACAAGTTTGCAGTGGTCATTGTCCAGACATAACCTGCCACTAACCCATGCTCCCCCTGGTGTTTGTATGCAGCCATTGCATCCAGCAGATCCTTGAGGCCGTGCTGCACTGTCACCAGATGGGCGTGGTCCATCGGGATCTCAAGGTGAGTGCCTGTCTCTTACTCAGAGCTAACTGAGACCTGTTTTTGTGTCTAAACCAGAAAACTGCAAATTAACCAATGCTTGGAATAAGATCGACAAAACCGGCTAACATTAGTACGCAATGGTATTAAAGGTCCTATATCACGCTGTTCTTCATGTTTCACACTCAATCCTATGCACATGTTTGATAATAATGTGTATGATACACCACACAACACTCAAAACTTGTGAGATTAGAGCCTTGTATAGAGGTGACGTCACCTCGACTCAAACGAGCTGATCCAGAGAAGAGTCTGCTCCTCTGCCTGTGAGCCCGCCTCCCCCCGCCCGCACGGTGACGTAGCATCACGCTTTTGTCGTTTATCACCTGTACTTAGTAATTTCATACATAAGAATAAACTTTTTCCAACAATGACAATCCGTCACATCGAGCCCAATGTCCTCGATGCACAATCAAACCCTAATTCTTTAGTTTACAGAAGTATACAGCGAGTTAGCGTCACTACTTACAGATCGAGGGGGTCCGAGTTACGTCTTTTACTGTGGGAATAACGTGTTTCCAGATCAGCTTTTGAGTAAGTCCAGTTCCATTGTCCCTGTAGTTCTGGAACAGTCTCAGTAAAGTGTCGCAGATGAACCGGTATTATAATAGATCCATGAGATGAACAGATGAAAAAAGTCGAGCCGCTTTCTTCCTCTTAGGGCCAAATAGTGCGTCACATATTTACACCCATAACACATTTCATTCAAGTTGACGTGATCCTAACACTTTTAGTTGCTGACAAAAGTAGAAAAACAGCAGCTCTATTTGGAGCCCGCGAGACCAAGCCACCGCCACTGGACTCTGGAGCCGGACTCTGGAGCTGGCTGTGTGCTCTGATTTGCTGTTTTATCTGTCAATCACCTCCCGCCGGCTTTTAATTTATTTTTATTTTTATTATTTGGTTTTTGTCACTGAAGTGGACCCGAGCGTTTCACTGCCTCTCGCTGGGGAAGGAGACAGATCGTTCTCTTACTAAAGATTGACAGAATCAATGAATAAACTACTGTGGGCATGTGTATGAAGGCCAAAGAGCACTGTAATCATGTTTAAAGCAGAGAAAAGTCAAAAACCGTGATATGGGCCCTTTAAAGCATTGAGTACCGGGCATGTTGTCTGTTACCTGGCATGTATAGTCTTTGCCACGGATTAGATTAAATTATTTTTTGTCTAGTCCTAAACAGCAGTTGTCTCAGGGTAATTTACAAAGCTGACAATTCTTCAACTACAGATTAGAGAATCAAATAGTTCAAAGTACAGAGGAATTGCATTAAGAACAAACACGTAGGAGCCATTGGTCCATAGGGAACAGGATGATAACTGACCATAAATGTTAATAAATGTCCTCAAACATCCCGGATCATCTCTGTTCTTAGACATCATCAGGAAGAAACCACTCGGATCTCACCGGCTGGTTTTAAATGACAACATAAATTGGAACAAATTGGTTGATGTCAAATATAATAAAAAAGATCTGGCAGTCATTCTTTCAATTTATGGTCACATAGTAATTATAATTTCTTAAATATTACTTACTTACTTACTATTATGGAACAAATTAGTTGATGACTTTTGCCAAACTTTATCAGAAAGTCACACAGAGCCACTTTAAACAGGAGTAGATTCAGTGTCTGGAGGATAATTGTGTCATAGTTCTGAGTAATAACTGAGACAACCAGAGGCTCCATCTCACTCATTCTGTTTATGTTTGTCTAATGTGGCTTCAGATTTGCCAATCAAATGAGCCAGGCGTTTGTCAGAGGTGCGCTGCGGCCCGCTCCAAATTAGGTTACTGTTTTTGCATTCTCCGATGAGTCCCGCGCTCCCATTGGCTGTTGCCCGGCAGCTGCTACGGCTCAGTGCAGAAACACAAAGAGAAAACAAATAGTAAACAAACAAATAAGCCACTGGCCCAGAACGCAGCAGAAGCGGTAGTAGTAGCAGCAGCAGCAGCAGCAGCAGCAGCAGCAGCAGTAGTAGTAGTAGTAGTAGCAGTAGCAGGAGTAGTAGTAGCAGCAGTAGTAGCAGTAGTAGCAGTAGTAGTTGCAGTAGTAGCAGTAGCATTAGTAGCAGTAGTAGCAGTAGTAGTTGCAATAGTAGCAGTAGTAGCAGCAGCAGTAGTAGCAGTCCCAAATGCAGTCCTTGGATTCTCAGTCATTCCCACACAACTGTTAAACTGTTAATTTGACTCCTCGCTCCACTTCCACTGTCGCTCATCACAAAATCAATGGTGTTCTGTGCGGTTCTGTGAGGAAGAGGCTAAAGAGAAGAGTATGTACTGTACAGTCAGAGGAGGAAGCCTGGAAGGACCTGGAAGATAGTAAGGTTTATTTATTACTCAACTCAAAAGTGCTTAACAAAACAAAAAACAAACAAAAAAACATACATAATCACAGTACATTAAAAAGTGAAGAGAAAAACCTTTTAGTTGTATGTACAGGTAAAGAGAACTGTTTTTAACCTGGATTTGAACATTGTCAGAGGACCAGTCCCTGTGCTCCTCAGAGTCCCAGCAGGAGATCTATACATAAGCAGATCCTTTTTAAAGTCTATTCTCTGAGACTGGACTGACGTGATGGTACTTCCTGGTTCTAGTCTGGACTGTTAAATGCAGGAATTTTGAATATACTGCAGCTGTTTCACAACTCATACTTAGTACAGTTTAGTCTATCAGATCGTCAAGTCAGATCTCTCAGACTGACCATGTCCTCTCAGATCTTTTTATATTCCTGTTAAACATTTATTAAAGATGAGTATTTGTTTGATATCTTTGAACATCTGTCAGTAACACGGCGCTGTTTTATTTAGCACTTGTCACACTGTGTCTGTAAGAGGCTTCAACAGCAAACAGAAGTGTAGTCTCTGCGGTGCATTCGCTTGTCAGGGATCCCCCGGTGTGTTCAGGGACCCCACAGAGGCTTCCAAAGTCAGTGTAGTTTCAGCTCAACATCACAAAACAACAATCACAGCTATTTCCTTCCCTGTAAACTTCACTCTACAGTTTAGCTCTTTGGCTTTTTATCAAACAAGACAAACAAGCTGGCAGAAGGGCATCACTTTGTCTTCAGGTTTGTTCGGGCACATTTTTTCTTAACAAAAGTGATGATCCATGCCATTAACCGTGATTCTGGAAACAGGGTAGCATTGCACATTCAACAAAGTGGTTGCCAGCCCAGGTGCTCATATCCCTCCACTTATTTGAAGGAATATCTGCGCCTCATTAATACATTTTTTGGTGTGCGATACCTGCTCTTTCTACAATGAACCGGGATTCTCCCACTGTTTGGACTGTGATGGGGAGGAGGTGGGTCACTGCACGAGTTGACCACAGTGGAACACTATGAGGCGGTTTAAATGCAAGGTGATTTCTTGATGATTTCAGGCCCAGGTGTGTACTAGAGGACGGACTCAAGTGAAGCTGGTGGGAAGTGGCTTGGAGCTAAAAACTATTCCATTTACCTCCCATTTATCTCATGTCTTTCCATCCATTCGTCTATAGATCGATTATTTCTGAATGCGTACATGTCGCGTGTGGACTCTGTCATGTCATGCTAGCTAACCCGCCCTGCCTTCCTCGACCGGTACATCACGATCGATAGGGCTGGAAAGCGGAAGTGCGAGATTTTGCGAGATTTCCACCCGCGGATACAAACAAACCACACGTGCCACTTGTATGGTGCTGAGATCGCCGACTTCTTCCTCCTTAAAGGACTTTCCTGTGTTATTTTGGACACATTTCGTCTCTGGGACAGAAAAACTGAGTGAGCGGTCGGAATTAGCTGTGAACTGACCATGTCCTGAAGTTTATATGACGGGGAGATGAGAAAGGTTCAGGGCCGTGTTCAAACTTATTGTTTTTTAATCCACTATAATGCATCAGAAAGACGATATAGAAACACTATTCCCATGCAAATACATTGATGTCCCTTACAGCTATCTTTGCTCCTTTGGGGATGAGCCAATGTTTATGAATGATCCGTTTTCTATCTGTTCATTAGCTCCATCTCCACTTCACATTCATTGCAGCTTCACATTGGGCCTTTTTTCTTTTTGCTGTGCTGTCAAAAATAACATGATGTAGTTTGGGTTACCTATTCATTTAATACTATTATTATGATTGTCCGTTTTCTGTTATATTTGAACATTTATTAAATGTTAATTAATATGTGCTAATATGTTCCTCCTTTATCTCTCAAATAAATAAATAAATGTATCTTGTGTGACAACAATAAAGTTAATCTTATCTTAAAATACAAGCCACAATCAAAGGCTCAGCAGCGCACTACAGGTTAGCATTAGCTACAAGTTAGCTTGAATGCATATTCAAGTTAACCATCTGTGAAATCAGACAAAAGGTTTTATCACAACTGCATAGCTTTTTACACAGCTTCAGTTGGTCTTTGGGAAACCTAAAAAATGAGCATGCTTCATGTAAACTTTGATGATAACAGCCGAAAACAAAGCAGAGCATTTTGCACCATTCATTTAAACCGCCTCTTCGAACAGCCGACGGTTTGTTTGTATCCGAGCCATGAACCGGAAGTGCTTCTGGGACGAGACTTTCCAGCCCTATTTGTCGAGCAGTGGACAAATTGCATCATTTCCGCTAAGCTTTCGTCTTCAATAATGAGGAGGCCATTGATTTGAATGGGCAGACATCTTGGCTCGCTGGGGCTTGAGTAGCACTTTGTCGTGATGGGGTTTCCAATACTTTACTGTAAATGCATTGTTTATTGATGAACTTGTTTTTTAGGCTGTTGCTCGTAGATTCAGATCTGGCATATTTGTATGTACAGTAGTATGCAATCAATTGGTACACAATCTATTGTTATGATTTTCCTTTATAAATCATGGGTTGTTTAGATAAGACATTCCAGTTAAATCTCAAAACACAGTGATATTTGAGAAGTGAAAGGAAGTTTGTATAATTTACAGAAAGGTAGGAGAATTATTGAAACCAATTTAAGCATGTGCATACATTTAGGGACCTTTTTT